AGAGAGAGAGAGAGAGAGAGAGAGAGAGAGAGAGAGAGAGAGAGAGAGAGAGAGAGAGAGAGAGAGAGAGAGAGAGAACGATGAGCACGTCGCATGCCGTGGCTTGCCATCACGTGCCGTCGCGCCCGAGACGATTAAGAAGCCCGCCCCTTTGAATGGCGGGCCTTCGAAGGTCGATTTCAGGGCTGGGCGCGGGCGCGCGTTCAGAATGGCCGTTTGGGCAGGCCGAACCGGTATCGCACGGCCCAAATTGCGGGCCGGTCACCACCTGCGGACGGGCCAGATCGCAGGCCGGTGAGAAAAGTTTCTCATCGGCCTGCGATTTGGGCCGTCGTCAGGTGGTGACCGGACCGCAACCTGGGTCATGCGATATGACGTTAGCCATTCTTATAGTATTGTAGATGTAGTTCTGAGAAGAAAGAGAGGCAGACAGTCTTGGGGTAAGACATGTCCCGTTCCTCTGTCCCTCTCTGCGCACCTTCTTGGACGCTGGAAAAGAGAGATGGAGATCAGAAACATGGGCCTGCACTTCGAGTCGTTTGCAATAGCCTAGTTATCGGCAAGAGCGTCACAGGTAAGAATTGTCTGCCAGCCTGTGCAAATTTCTTCTTTTCAAGAGTTCGTTCTTGCTCACACCACTCCTCTTTCATTTGTTTGCTACATTTGACGCTGATCGCAGTCCAGCACCACGAAACCACATGTTTATTTCACTCAAGCCCATTGCCATGTTCCTTTTTAGCCCTTGAGCCCATCGCATGAGCAACGACGACACTAGGATAATTGGTGGTTGCTTATAATTTTCAAGAAGCACTGCGGCCGCCTCATCTTTTCAGTCCCAAAAGGGAAAAAAGAAACAATACACAGCAGTTTGGTCGCACTCTATATTCCTTTTGCAATTTCAAACTCAGGCCCTCTGCACACACCGCGGCGCACCCCTGTCGTTACAAACCACTGCGCCTTTCTTGAACCCAGGCTGTAAGACACCTGCTGGCATGAGTCCTTTTTTGCCTATTCGAAACTCCATTCTTGACTGGGACGGACTTGCCTCAGTTTACAAATGTTCTGGCTGTTGTCACTGGTGAGCCATCATGTAATTGATGGACCCTTCTTCTCCACACCAGGCGCCTGACAATTCCACCTAGCGCATGTAGATGATCACCAGCTTCTGCACACGGATCTTCTGGAACATTCACCGGCAATGGGAGTTCTGGACAGTAGATGATCATGCACATCTCTGCAAGGAAAGATGTTGCTATCTAACTTCATTTAGAAACTAGAGGTAATGCGTGGATGTTGTCGCCAGTCAGCCAATACAGCACAATCAAAAAGATACGCTGATGTCGCTAATTGCTCGATGCTTGAGAGACCCCTCTGATAGGAGACCTAGCAAAAATGGAAAACCTACCATTCAAGGCATTTTGCGACTCCGGCATTTCAGGAGGTGTCGGTGGCGGCAGGGCCGCAAGAGGCGATGAGACAGATTTGCACGGAGGGGGACTTCCAAATGGAACCGAGGGCCGACGCACCGTGTGAGTAGAAGCAACAGTGCGCGATGCCACAGCATCCTTCAAACCTCCATCCACCAGTCCACCTGACGAGTATGACACAGTTTGATTGAATGACAAACTCCTCTTGAATTTTGGGTTCTGCAAGCAAGACTGAGCACAATACCAGGCATACAACATAAACATCAGCATCGGAAAGATTCACAAGGGCAGCTCCTCTCCATAGCAGATGCTTCAAAATCAAAATGAACTTTGCTGACGAGGTGCACTAAAATGTGTGCATATGACACGGTTTGATTGAGTGACAGGCTCTGCTTGAATGTAGGTTCTGCAAACAAGACTTGAGCACAATAACAGCCATACAACACTCTCTCTCTCTCTCTCTCTCTCTCTCTCTCTCTCTCTCTCTCAAACACACACACACACACACACGCGCGCGCGCGCGAGCTCGCACACCGAAGCCCTTGACCGCATGGTGAGTTAGTTCACACTTTTTTTTTTTTTTTTTTTGCAGTGAGATAGTCACGACGCCCGCAGTTTCCATTTTTTCAGTAGCTGTTTCAGGCAAACCGTCGATAGAGACCGAAAAAATCACTGCTTATTGGAAGGCCCATTTCACAGGGTAAAAAAAAGGCAGCAGTGGTCGTTTGTTTGAAAAACAAACATAGCTGAACATGGATATCCTACGAGATACATGGATCCTCTATGAGATAGAATGGTGTTTCAGGTCTTCGAGACGAAGAAAAAAACTCGTAAGCCCTAATAACAACACACCGCAAACAGCACCATGCCTTCGACATAGGTCAGAACCCCGCACGCCATAAACACTACGGACCTTGGCGACAAAGACTTAACTCCCTCCTGCTCCTCTTGCAAGGAACATGAGTATGGACGAAGCACAGAAATCCAGAATGCAAAATCACACTGAAGTCCAAGTATTCAAAGCCAAAGCAGATAGCACATGGAACCGAGTAACCATCCCATTGAGAATGATACAGAAGAATCGTGAGTCAATGTCCATGCCCACCAGGGCAACACCAACAGCATAACCCAAATGTAGCTCTCTCTCGTGAATGGCGCCAGGCACCCTATCTACTCTACAGCCTATCCTACAACTACAGCAATGAACAGCAACCAGACAACTTGACTACCAGCGAGTGATGATGTCAACACCAATGCAGACCTCCACCATCACCAGGTACGTGTCCTCTTCCCCACACTCTCCATTGTTACCCACACAGCGCCCTTCACCTCCGAAGTACCACCTTCGCCCTCACCTCCCCTCCACCCTCATGCGGCCCGGCTATGGCGGCCAGTGCTCTGCAAGCAGGCAGCGCCCTACCGCCTATCGCTGCCCTGCTTCTTCTTAGCGCAGCACACTTGCATGTGCACAGCGTGCCCGCATATGCCAGCATTGGCCAAGATCCCCGCTGCCTCGCCCTGCCAGCCTGTGACCGGGGCCCAGAGGCTGAAGCCAACTCGATACAGTTGGGCCCCGGGGTAAGGCAGTTGCGCCTCCTTCATCAAGGCCTGCGGCCAGATTCAGACAGTGGGCCGATTTCCCTTTGGCATTTTCGGCCTCTCTTCCCAGCATGCATTGTCGGCCTCACGTTCAGATGCCCAGGGCCTAACCAACTCAGAGGCCCTGGGCTTTCAGCATTTGCTGAAATCCGAGACTCGGTGCACTCCAACCGACTGGCGTCCTGCAACTGTATGGACCCCACTTCGTGAAATGTTGCACAGAGGGCTCTTGTCGATTTGCTGGCCCGCCTTCACTTAGGGCGGGCACTAGGCTTGCTGGGGCCTTAGCCCAGAACATGTACATCATGGCAAGGCCCCTACTTGAGGGCTCAATCCTCACACTCTTCCCCCAGCAAGTCAAGAATATACAACACTTGCACACGTACAAATCCTTCCATAAGGATCCACAAACAACATCGATTACCACTCACCAAAAAAAGAAGGGACACCGACTATCTAGTTGCTCGGTTTGCCCATTTCTTTCATTGGGCATAGGGCCTTGCCGCACTACTCACCAAATGCACAGAATACAAAATTTATGGCAGTGCATCTTCCCAGATTCTAGCTAAAGATTCATTCTCAATTTGTACATTTGGCGAGTGGCATGGCGAGGCCGATGCTCACACTGGGACTTTTTCAACTTACCTGTGGACGTAATTGCGGTTAGTTGCATCCAGGATGGACTGTAAAAGAGGTCAGATGCATCTGCGAAAGTCCTCATGTGAGTATGCCGTGAGTCTTGTGCGCTCAGGCATCAGTGCGCAGCTGCTCTTTCCTGTTTTTTCCCCCTTTTTCTGAAGGGCTTCGGCCTTGAGATGTCATCATTGAACTGACTGGCCCGGTAACTCAGAAGGATCCTGTTCTGTTAATCTGATCGCTAGATGACCTGCTTCAGCTTCGCTTGCAAGGACATAGGAGGGAATACTACCGATCTTTCTTTCTTTACTGTGAGCGATTTTTTTGAGAAGCAAAGTTTGTTGCTCTGCGCTGTGTGAAATGATCCATACAGTTGCAGGCCCGGAACTCAGAACTTTTCAGAGAAAATGCTGCCTCGCTAAGGTGTTTGCTCAAGATCACGATTCTGAGTCTATTTGCTGTGATTTTTTAATATGTTTGTGGTCAGCCAATCTTGTACGGATCCCATATGCTTACTTAATGAGTTTCGAGCCTTTCGACTCTGTGTGCGTGTGTCCGAGTGCACGTATGTGTGTGTCAGACTCAATTCGGTGGGCCGAGATAGTGAGATCGAGAATTGGCAGGGGGTGCGCTGAGAGTGTGTAATCGGAAATCCCCCTCAATCATAAGAGTGCCACTGTTGTTATGCAGGCCTCGTAAGGGATGAATGAAGTAATCAGTATCCAATCTGCTTGGCAGTTCCTGTTTGCTGGGGGAAGTTGTCGGAAACAGTTTTGTTATGTCAGACGTAATGCTGGGTGTGCATCTTGGAGCATTTCCTGCAAGGCAAAAGCCAAAGAAGAAACCGAGCAGCATGTCTCAAAATCACTTCCTGGACAGTGTGGCAAACTCTCTAGGCTTTGTAGTACACCATATGCCCCATGGCAGTTCCATTGTAAGGCTGTTCGATCAGTGAATCGAACAAATGTACAGCTGTTAGTACTGAGCCCGTACTATGCTGCACAGGGCACCGAAACATGTGCGAAAAACAAAAAAGAACAAAACGTGGTTGTAAAGCACAAAAAAGTTGAGAAAACTCTACAACCTCCTTTCTATTTTTGGGTCGTTATTTAGATTCTTTAAAACTAGAAGACATCAAAACGAGCTGATTGATTCCTTGATTTGATTCATCAGCTGGTTGATTGATTGATGAATTCACAAAAAGAAAAGAGGGGGGGGGCGGCGACCACCCCCTGACCAACCAACACATCAATCAATCAATCAGTTGTTGTTTTTTTTTTCTTTCAACTTAATTAAACTTACATATCATCAAACAGAGCTGCCTGGTAAACCGTAGGGAGATAGGGAGAAGACGGCAACAAACGAGGGGCATTAGCCTTATACATATAAATATATTGATTGATTGATCTGTTGGTTGGCGGAGGTTCGCCCACCCCCCGCGCGCCCATCAATCAATCAATCAATCTTTTTTTTTTTCACGCACATTTCCTTGTTCTCTTTTTTCTCCTTTTTTGTTTTCCCCCCCCTATGAAACAATCAATCAATCAATGAATCAATAAATCCCTCCATCAATCAATCAACCAATCCATGAATGATCAATCAATCATTCAATCATTCAATCAATCAATCTGTCAATCAATCAATTAATCAATCAAGTTTTTAGTTGATGCTCTACACCGACCTATGATTGCCTGGGGGGGGCTGTACCCGTCCGTAGGCAAGGCATAGTCTCCAGCCTCCCGTCCTTCATTCACCTGCTGCCTTCCCGTTGCTCCAGCCTCTCCACCCACCATCCACCGGACCTCCTCTTGCAGTTTTCCAAACTTCTGGTAAAATTACTCCCACCCTCCACCCGGCCTCCATGCTCCCTCCACCATACGTCCCCCGCCTCTGCGCCCATCCTACTAATCACCTGAGGTGACCCTTCACCCCTTCCACCCTCCTCTCTCACTGGGCCAATCCTCCCCCAGTGTGCCCACCCTGCTCCTAAACTGAGTCGACCCTCTTTCCCCACTGCACCGACCCGCCTCCAGCTTCTTCATGCTCTCTCTCTCTCTCTCTCTCTCTCTCTCTCTCTCTCTCTCTCTCTCTCTCTCTCTCTCTCTCTCTCTCTCTCTCTCTCTGTGTAACGCACCCTCAAGGCCGCATTACTATCCGGGGAGGTCTTGCGCATCTACGACCCGCTACTGCCGATGGGTGTCACTACCAATGCGTCCGGCTATGGCAGTAGTGCCGTCGTCGAGCAAGCGTGGACTGGCACCCGGTCGAGTCTTTCAGCAAGAAGGTGCCCGTCGTGCACTCAATCGACGATGCATGACAGAAGGAGCTCCTAGCCTTCGTCCACGCGCTGAAGCAGTGGTGGCACTTTCTCCTTGGTCGAAGTCAATTCCGATGGGTGACGGACAACAATCCATTGGTCTTTACAAGACCCAAGACACGGTCAACAGCACCACCGCCCGTTGGATGGCTTTCATTTACCAGTTTGACTTCTTTCCCGATCACATCCCGGGGATGTCAAACCGTTTTGCAGATGCTCTCTCACAGCGTCCGGATCATTGCACCGCAGTCTATTCGACCTTCGAGATCGATGACGACCTGCTGGACAACTTCATCCGCGGCTACCAAGCCGACCCTAGGTTTCATGACAAATATGTGAATTGCTCCTCGACTTCTTTCCCGATCGCATCTCGGGGATGTCAAACCGTTTTGCGGATGCTCTCTCACGGCGTCTGGATCACTGCACCGCAGTCTATTCGACCTTCGAGATCGATGATAACCTGCAGGGCAACTTCATCCGCAGCTACCAAGCCGACCATGGATTTCGCGACAAGTACGCGAATTGCTCCTCTCCTAATCCGACGCCATCACACTACAGGATCCAAGAGGGATACTTGCTTGTCCACACACGGGGGAAGGACTTTCTTTGCGTGCCAAGTGATCCCCACTTACGTACGAGGATTCTTGGCGAGTTCGGATCAACCGAACGATTGGCTGAC